GAGACAGCAGAATAGACGAGAAAGAACTGGAGAAGATAACAAAATACAAAGACCTACAAATAGAAATAGAAAGACTGTGGCAAAAGCAAGCAAGGGTAGTACCAATAGTAATAGGCGCCTTGGGTGCAATCCCAAAACAACTGGAGCACCACTTGAACACCATTGGCATTGACAAATTCGCTATTAGTCAATTGCAAAAAGGCGGCCTTACTAGGAACTGCTTCCATCCTGCGACGATATCTATAATACCATCAAACATCCACATCTGCCTATCCCAGGTCCTGGGTAAGGACTCGATAGGTAGACAAAATGCCAAATCCAGTCTGAACATCTGGCTGACTGTGCGATGATCCATAATAATAATAATAATGTTGGAAGGGACCCAACCCCCTGCTCAGGCAGGTAACCCTATACCAGTGATGGTGAACCTTTTAGAGACCGAGTGCCCAAACTGCAACCCAAAACCCACTTATGCATTGTTGGGTGCCGGGTGGGTGTGGTCAATTGGGTGGGCGTGGCCCATTGAGTGGGTGTGGCTGTGGTGGTAACGGCAGACTGGGTGGGACTAAAAAGTTCAATCAATCAGTTCCAACTTTGCAAGATCTTTTTTTTTCCCAAGAGAAGTTGAAATTGACTGATTGATTAAGCCTTTTTTTTTTGTACATGGCCGCGGAGGCCTAAAGCGAAAAGGTTTTATATAACCCAGCTGAAGGCCTAGGATTGGGGTGACGGCACACGTGCCCACAGAGAGGGCCTGAGTGCTGCCTCTGGCACCCATGACATAGGTTCCCCACCACTGCCCTATACCATTTCAGACAAATGGCTGTCCAGTTTCTTCTTTAAAACTTCCAGTGTTGGAACATTCACCACTTCTGGAAGCAGGTTGTTCCACTGGCTAATTGTTCTAACTGTCAGGAAGTCTCTCGTTAGTTCTAGGTTGCTTCTTTCTTTGGTTAGTTTCCAGTTTTGAAGTTACTATTCTAATTTTTGGAACAAAATAAAACTTCAAAGGACGAGTTTAACCAACAGGTGTGGGAAACTTAACTATCGGTGGGAAGGGGGTGTCATTTCAAAGAGGCTTCTCCACAATAGCTGGAGAAGAAGAATGAAGCCATCTCCAACTGGCAGGAGAGTAATGAGTGCCTCAGGCAGCAAAATGAGGAGTCCGAGGAACAAGGGGCCGAACTGAGGATCCCTGCGGAACCCCCTGCCCCACCTCCCACCATTCCCCAAGCTTTGCCAGCCACTCCCTGCTATCCCAGGGAACTCCTAGACCCCTCAGAGATTGTGGCCCCCTCCCATATCCTCCCCCCCCATGTCAAGAAGAAAAAGAGCATCCCATAAGACAAGCTGTTCCTGCAGAGATTTCACAACTCTGGAAGCTGCATCCCTTTTCTGATGGTGGAGG